ACTATTGCTTCGGTTATTTTTTGAAACCGCACTCCATCTTTGGAGCTTACGCTATTAATTTTTTCAAACAAGGTGTCTACAGCCGGTTGGAGCAATTCTAGTTCTCTTACGTCTTTAGATATGGAAGGAACACTTCCTTGACTCGAACAAATAGACGAACCAGTGGCTCTTGATTCCTGAACATCAGGATTTATGTCGATAAATTCCGGCATCTTTTTTTGGATTGCGACGGACTCAGTATTTTCTTGCAACCCACTTTCTAATTGTTGTCCATGGATTTTGTTTAGATGACAACGCAGGTTTGACTATTGCCAGACGTTTTAAAAATTTTGTTACATAATGTACACTTTGCAGTGTTGCTACATTTTTTTTTAAAAAAGCGCCAAACTTGACTTTTGCTTGACATTTTGAATTCAGCAAAACTGTTGGAAAATAGTTACAGTTAAAATATTTATTAATGTGCGGAAAACAAGTATATTTTTTGAGAGAACAAGTTTAAAAATGTGTTTATAATGCAAGCACTTTTCTTGTTTGATGTTCAAAACTGGTATGTAATTTGGAGTATGACAGCTTACAGTTTATAGACATTAGTTCACATGTGTTCCTATAATTAAGAGACCTACATGGTGAAGTATAATTTTGGCAAAAGAATTATTTTGTGGGACCTACTTTCAAAGACAATGGATATAGTGTATGGGGTGGACCTCGAGTTTAAACAATTATAGGCTTTGTAACCCAGTAGTTCGTTTTTAATAATATTCAGAAATTTAAAAACATTACTTTGTGGTTTTGTGGTCATATAATTAAGTTACATAGAAGAATCTTCTTTGTAGCCAGAAAATATGTACATGTGTACACAACACGATATGTATTCCTAATTAGATAGTACTAACTTGAGGTAAAACATAATTGATTTAGAAATAAATATCTTTGCTCACAAAGAAAATTCTTTCAATTACGTAATTATATGAGCAAAAAACACAAAATAATATTTTGAAATTTCTGAATTATTTGATTAAAAAC